TACAATAATTTTAATTACAATTACCAGCATAATAATTATTATAAATATTAAACAATCACACAAACAAATAAAAAAGTACACAAAAAATTTGATCAGAAATAGGAAAACACCCACCCCCAAACCCTTCCCCCACTTCACAAACCAACAAACACTAAAAAGAGAAAATTAAATAATTAGAGTTCACTTTTAGCTTGACTTGGGCATAGGCATATCTGAAATTCTCTCAGTTGTAAAAATGTTCTTTTAGCTTTCTGAGAAATAAGTTAATGTTAAAGAGAGCAGCATCACGTACTTCTAGTGGAAGAGTTTCCCATACAATGGGAAAATAATTGAAAGCAGAGAATTTAAATGCATTGGTTCGGGCATAGGCATGCCTAAACGCAAATCATCAGAGTGTCTTGTGTTGATCTTAACAAATTCCAAACAGTTTAAATCATACACATGATAAAGGCATTTACAAACAAAAGCTACAAGAATGAAATCGTATCTAGCCTTCATAGAGATCAAGTTAAATTTAACTAATCTCTCCTCATAGCTTAACACAGATCTGAGTTCATTTGGGATGCTCATACGAGTTGCTTTTCTCTGAACCTTTTCAATAGATTTCAAATGTCCAGCTTGAAAAGGATACCAACTCGGTATTCCATACTCTAAAATTGGTCTCACGAGGGAATTATATAATTTGATAAAGGCTTCGGAGTGATTGTATTTCAAAGTTCGCTTAATAAAGCCAAGAAGTTTCAGACCCTTGGAAGTGACATCATTAATGTGAGCACCCCATGATAAATTAGATGCAATGTTAACACCAAGGTACTTGTGAGTAGAAGTAAGCTGGAGGCAAGCCTCATTGATGTGATAACTTTTTGGAGATTGTGCTCGACTAGTTGATCGAGTGATTCGCATTACTCTACATTTGTTCGGGTTGAGGGACATTCCACACCCCTCGCTCCACCTACAAACATGGTCGAGATCACTCTGGAGGATGGCTTCATTATTAAAAGAGAAAATAGCACGATAAAGAAGAGTGTCATCGGCATAAAGAGGGATAGAAGATTGGATAGTATCAGGAAGGTCACAGATAAATAAATTAAAAAGAATAGGCCCGAGGACTGACCCCTGGGGACCCCACAGGTCACAAGGGCAACAGGAGAAGATTGACCCCGAAAAAGAACAGTTTGAGAGCGCCCAATAAGAAAAGAATGACGCCACCTCCAGAGCGAGCCACAAAATCCATAATTATAAAGTTTAGCCAGAAGAGCGGAATGATCAACCCGGTCAAATGCAGAGCTCCAATCTAGAAACACTACGTCAATATGGGGAGGGGATCTTGAGTCAAGAATTGCAGACCAATGGTGAAACACTGACGACAAGAGAGTAGAACAAGAACGGCCCTTAATGAATCCATGTTGAAAACTGGAGACAAGCCCTTTGTCTAACATAAATGATGTAATGTTGTCAACTACTACTCTTTCGAGCATTTTTCCTACAACAGAGCAGAGAGATATTGGTCTGTAATTCCGAACACAAGCTCGCTCTCCCTTTTTATACACTAGAACTATATTGGCATGTTTCCAATCGTCTGGTAACATACCTTTATCAAGAGAGATATTAAACATTTTAGATAATGGCTCACATACATATATAGCACTTAATTTCAACATAGAAGTTGTAATATTGTCAGATCCGACTTTCCGAACTTCAATTTGTTAATCAATTGGAGAACCATCTGCGGTGAGGTTTAAATTGGAGGAACTACATCCAGTTCAGAAGGCCTAATGTCAGTAGGGGAAGGAATGTCCTTGTAGGACTGGCTACTAAAATTTGAAGAGAAGTGTTCATTAAAGGATTGGGTAATTTTACTCGGATCGTCAGTATAAGATTCATTAATTTTAAAACTTGTGGTTGTCGGCTTTGCTAGCTACTAAGAATTTCCACATGGCTGGTCTTATCAGTCAATCACGTATTCAGTGAGTCAATGTTAGTCAGAGCATACCCTACAACGCTTTTTGCTATTGTGACAACCGTGTGGTGGCGTCAGAATAGAAAATTTAACACTGGAATGGAAGTAGTGCTTTCAAGATTATGTGCGCATGCTCTTCTTCTCACAAATCGGGACCTTCACTGCCAATCGGGTATTCAATCTATAAGCCTAATCTGAATGATTAAAGTTTAAATATATTTATATACATATGATCGGTGTAGAAGAAACTCTGAATTATTATTATTTGAATCGAAATTTGTTAAAATACAGGAATAAGAATTCTTTTGAAGAGAAGACAAACATGCCGGTATTAAAAATAACATACATTGCATGAATTGTGGGCGGGGGTCGCGACTGGGGAATGGGCGAGTATTTTTTTTTTCAGGGGTTAGGGGACTCGACGTTCGCGCACATTGCACATCCTAGATATGCCAATACCTAGCATACACTGTAATTTACCCTACGGTCCGCCACTGTGTAGGCCCAGCCTGATTATCAGTCTGTGAGTTACCAAGCACCATTGGCTCTCTACTATTGTTGTATTTTTGCTTTTTTTGGTTGGCCTAGCTATCTTGCTGGTCAAGCCTTTTGATATGCAAATTGATAATTGTTCTATTTTGATTGTGTGTGTGCTTTATTGATAGCTGTGTACCTGTTGCTATTGTTTTACCATGGTTCTACAATACAACTTCTCTCAGCTTTTTTCACTGAGAAAACTTGCTTGTAAAGTTATACCTGGTTTTTCAGTTCAAAAGCTAATGGACTACTTCGGATGCCAGGCAAACGTGCTGGTGCTCGTTCACACAGGTCGTTTGCTCGTCAACAGGTAGGTGATAACCTTTTTAATAATGGTTCATGTGGTAACAATCATCTTCGGCCCAGCTCTATTCTCAACCATTCAAGTGTTGAGAAACTAACTGTCAGGCATTGGAATACTCACTCTCTTTGCAATAAAACATGGTATGTATGTGACTACATTATCGAAAATTCCATTGATCTTATGTTCCTTACTGAAACTTGGCTTGCCAAGGATGACATGACTAAAATCGGTGAGCTGACTCCCCCTGGCTACATCTTCATTAATATTCCCCGCTATTCACACACACATTTTCATCATGGTGGTATTGGTATTCTTTTCAGAAATACCCTTAATTTCCAACCTGTTGATTTTTTACATTACACACATAATTTCATTTGAGTATGCAGCCATTTCGAACGTTTCTAGGTCATTTTTCTTCCTTGTTATTTACAGGCCTCCCCCATCTGCGAGGAATGGATTACTCACCTCTGTGTTTCTCAGAGAATTTGATGAGTTTATTGACACTGTCCATTTGCTGCCCGGGAAACTTCTTATTATGGGGGATTTGAATGTTCACTTTGATCTTCCTTCTAAACCTGATGTTGCTCATGTACTTGCATCTGTCTCCTCTGCTGATCTTGTCCAGGTTGTGACCAAACCCATATATGTACATGGACACATACTTGATCCACTTATTACCAGTGTGGATACCTGTATTATCGATCATAGTATACATTGTAACCACCATTCAGACCATGCTGTTGTCTGTGCTAACATTGCTCTCGGAAGCCCTAAATGTGTTCCAAGGACTGTTGAGGATAGACCTTATGGTAACATTGACCATGGTGAGCTTGGTTCTGATCTTACCCTTGAGGTGGCTGCTGTATTAATCACAGGCAAGTCATCTAATGACATTATGGCTGATTTTGATAAGTCTAACAACTGGTATTAATAGAGTCATCCCAATTAAGAAACGTGTTGTCAAGGCCGACCTCAGGCCTAAATGGTACAACAAGGATATCCAGGCTGCTAGGCGTGATCGTACTCGAAGATTCGAGCGGAGGCTCAATAAGAATAAGTCTGATGACAATTGGAGTTTATTCCTTATTGCTAAACGCAAAGTAAGATCATGTATTTCTGCAGCTAAAGCAGAATACTTTCGGGGTATATTGAAAAACTACTCCAGTAAAACTGCTTTCTTTTTTAAACACCTTACTTAACAGCAAGTACTATCCTGATCATAATTGTCCGAAGATTCTGGCAAACAAGTTTGCTGACTTTCAGCCAGAAGATTGCTGATATTCGTAACGACCTTGAGACAATTGAGTCACCCACCTGCGTGGAACATTGTTCTCCTTCCTCTACTAAACCTAACTCTTTTTGGTGTGTAAAGTAAGGAGAGTAGGCGTGCACCGCGTACGCGCCCTCTATATCCCCCTATGGATCTTAGCCACGGGGGAGGTCTTTGTTGTGTGGAGCGGCTCTGACACGTAGGGGTCGTTCAGTATCTCCTATACGAAGCATAACTGTTTCGGCATTAAGAGCTATATACCGTGTTGCACTTCTTGTCCATCTTGTCCTTCGTGTGACACTAGGAGCTGCGAAGGATGTTCTTAGGTTTGATGTATACTTGAATACCCAGGGAGCTCAAAACACGACGGGGTCCTTCCAAAATTCCCCTTACCAACGTGACTACTCACAATTTTTGATATACCCAATGAGTGGGTCGAAATTACCCAAGATTCAACAAAAAAAAACAGTGTTTTTCGCATGTATAGTTTCCCTTTTAGTTCATTCTATAAATCATTTTTTATTGTAATTGTTTGTGTTATTTATTAAAATTAGTATTCATGAGGTGATAATACGGATAGAAAAATATACCCTCAGTCGGCCAGTAGTGTTATCAGGAATTTCAAGTTATATTATGTAATGCATTAATTTGGTAAGATCAATGGCAACGCAAATCCACAAATAAACAATTCTGAACCCATGTTTATAGCAATTAACAGTCAATTAACAATGTTATGTGCACTTCATTGAATTTTGCTTACTTAAATGGACTGAATACACTTTGTTACTTCTTAATTCTTCCTCTATGCCAACGATATTTAATTTTCTTTAGCAAAAATAAAATACCCAAGGATTTGAACGGAATACCCAAGAACCCAAGACCAAGTCAAAATACCCAAGACCTTGGATAAATACCCAAGCAGGGGTCATGTTGCCCCTTACACAAGGCAGAACAATAGAGCCATTATTGATAAATGTAAATGTAGTAGTTGGATTTTGTCGATGGGGAGGAGGGATGACAGGGATTGGTTTCGTGCATTGGCGACAGCAATTATATCACATTTTATTACGTGTGGGTAGTTTACATTAGGCCTACTCTGATTGTGGCAATATAATTAAAAAAAAAAAAACTCGATAAGACTAAAAAAAAAATCCTGTTGGCCACGGGTTTTTGTTTTTTTTGTTTTTTTTTGTTTTTGGTAAATAAAAAAGAATAGGTTAATTGTTCAGTAGGATTTTTTTTTATTGTGCTTTAGAAACCAAATGTCTTTACGCCTAAAAAGAAAAAAATACTAAAATTTAATACAATTTTGGATTCGCATTCTGTACCATCCTGCAAAAAAATATAAACTATAATGCCGACTATTAACTTCGTAAAATTGTGGTCAGTCAGGCGTGGCCAACACAATTTTACTTGATTTGAATTCCCCCAGTTATTCAAAGTTGTTGTTTATTTACAAATTCTTTATTGAGAATTGTCAACATAATACAGAAAAAAGGAATAACAATGGTAGGCTTATCTGGAACCGAAATTACAAAACAATATTATGTTGAATTGAAAGAGATCTCAACATTTAAAATAAAACTGTTAAAATAGTGTAGTCTCTTTTGTAAATTAAGGTATATTATTCGTGGTGTCTTTTCTATTTTTAGGTGATGCATGTTTCTCAAAGTGTGAAGGTTGGTTGGAAGAATTATTTAATACCCATATTTCATTTTATGTTGCTGAAACCGTTTTCGACACGTTATTAAATGTATTTTTTTATAAGTAAATATTAGTTAGTAATTTAAATTAATGCTCATTTCATTTGTAATTTTTTTTTCCAGATTCAAAGTGCTTCAACTTGTGTACAGGTTGGTTGCAATATCTTTGTAGCAAACATTATGGTTTTGCCTATAAATATTACAGTTTAATATAGTTTATTGTTTGTTAAATAGTCATGTACAAGCTTATTGCAAGATCAGATATAGTAATAAATCAAACCGGACAAGCAGTCCCGCTTATAGAGGTCTAGAACTAGGTACGCGTATGTAAAACTACAATAGTGTTTTCAATATCCTTCAAAACTCAAAGAAACAAATTATAATCGAGTATAGCAATGTATATGCAGAAGCGAAGCACTAGCAAATTTATGAGGTGCTAGTGAGGGGGGGGGGTGGAGGAGGTAACCATTCTCTAGCATCACTAGAGCTACGTCATCTAGCTAAGTGATGTGATCCATTTAAATGGATATGAAAGAAGCAACTTGACTTTCTAAATTAAATCTAAAATATCGTAGACCTACTATAAATAGAATTTTAAAAAACATAAAAATAAAAACAGATTCGCAATCATATGCATAAAAATGAAATACATAATAAGTTTGGCTCACTTTACGGATTTAAACCAGGCTGTTTCGGCGAGTACACTATAGTAGTAGTACTCAACTGAAGTATTTAACTTAAGTCTAACCTAGTAATGGCAGACGTTTTAGTGCTTTGTGGGCGAGGTACTAGAATTACAAACTAATAGGCCTACCGTGGATCGCTTTCCTTTGAATTAACCTACAACGCCCTGTTCCAAAGTGTTTAACACGCATACTGAACAAATGTGTTGGGCACGCTATGTTGTACTAAAGGAATATGGTCGACTTGACTCCGAAAGCAACTGTTGTTATGGTGACCACTGAAAAATTACCTTAGCACAAACCAAAGAAAATGTACAGAGGTAGCTTAAAACATAACTTTAAAGAACTGCAATTTGATTGTAAAAACTTGAAGAGAATAGTGAAAACATTCTCTGAATGATCGGCTGTAAAGATTTTGAAGAGGGACGTGAAAAACTAAAGCGTCAACTTCGGAAACGATGTCATCAGTTGAAATATGCGGACGTGTACTGCTTTCTAAAGCTAGGTACGTCAATTACTCTAAGTCTCATGAAAATTAAATTATAAATAGCATCCTACCAGGAAGACCAAGTAACACAACAGACAAATTTGCAAGATGAGTTATGGTCTTCAAAGGAAATACGGCAGTGTACATAGATCAACTGACCCGTACATATGTCACAAGTTCCGATCAAAAATTCCAAAACGGAGAAAGGACCTCGGCAATAAGTTACGACACGGAATTAAACTCAGGTTAAACTTTATAAACCACATCACATCACATAACAATAAGTCTATTTAACTATCGCAATTTATACCCTTAACACTTTGTATCACATGAACTAGTTGTGCACATTACTAATAATATACTGGACAACGATCTCCAATTATATAATAAATATCAATGTAAGCTAATTGAACAGTTCACAACAATAACATTACTAAACAGTTGTATATATTTCTCTTATACACATCT